TCTTCTTGCTTCTTGGGCATGGCTTGCCACTCCTGCTTTTAGGTGTTGCTTTACCCAAGGATTTGATCTCTTTTGGAAGAGCTTCGAGCACCATGTCTTCATCCATGTAGAACTTGGCGTCTGCGAAATGTGATTCGGCTTCGGTGAATGGTTTGGTGTCGCCATAGATCACATTCACTCCTTCTCGGTAGAAGTTCAAGCATTGGTGAAAGGTGGACGGTACTACTCCATTTGCATGGATCTAAGGCCTTCCTAAGAGCAAGCCGTAGGAAGTTCTTGCATCAATCACGTGGAATATCGTGCTTGACTTGAGTTCACCAATAGTCATCTCTACTCGGATCATGCCCATTGCTTTTTGTCCTCCTTGATTAAAACCTTGGATTAGTAGACGACTTAAGGACAGTTCATCCACCTTGATGCGGATTGTAGTCATTGTTGACTTTGGCATGATGTTTATGGCTGATCCACCATCCACAAGCATGCGATTGACTTTGTGCTCCCTTACGTACCCAGAGACGAAGAGAGGACGGTTGTGAGGCTTGGATCCTAGCAGCAAGTCTTCGTCGGTGAAATGGATTGTGTCCTCGATGGCATAGCATGTGGCATATTCATGTGGCCGAAGCTTGAAGCCTTCGTTCTTGCTTTCTTGCACTTCGTGGTCATTGGGACTTTCCAAGACCGCTGCTAATGCTATTCGCATCTTCTTTGGTAATCGCAGCGCTTCCTCAATGCTAAAGTGTGTTGGCAGACCTTCTTCGAAAGTGAGAGTTTTTTCTCCCTCAGTGGTGATATCTTTGCCTTTTGAAGGTTTTTCTATTTCTACTTCAACCATGTGACATGCAGCGATAGTGCACTGTTGGAAGAAGTCATTCGGGAAGTACTCGTGCAATGAGATAGGAATGCGTGGCTCTTGCTCCATAGGTTCCCCAGCATACATTGGCTTATCAACTTTTACGTTTCTTTTGGGCTTCCTACTGTTGCGGGGATGGTGTTTTCTCATTTGTTCCACCTTTTGTCTTATGGCTTGTGGTTTTGGTTTCCTTATTTTTTTGTAGGTCACCAATGTCCATCATTCTTCATCATCGGCATGTGCATCTTGTTCGTTTACCCCCGGTGATGGTTGCGCAGAAGGTATCGTGTAACTTGAACATTGATAGGAATGGTCAAGTGCTACTTGGAGAGGCACGAGATCGAAAGTTCCAAATGCAATTGTAGTAGTATGTGTCGCGGCCGTGTCTTCAAGGTCGAGCTCGATTCGCCCTTGTTGTGCTAGCTTCATGATGAGCTCTTTGAGGACGAAGCATTTACCCACAGGATGGCTCATGATTCGATGGTACTTGCAGTATTTAGGATCGTTTATGCGATTCATTTCTTCAGGCCGCTTGCATTCGGGTAGCTCGATTACCTTCTTTTCTAGCAAATCGTCTAACATTGCATCCATGTCTGAATTAGGAAAAGGGTATACCTTCTGCTCCAATTCCCTCAATGTGCTTTTGTACCTTTCTTGGGTGCGGGGAGGCTCACTTTTCTTTATCTCATTTGCTTTAGTTTTGGAGGAGATCTTGATAGGCGAGGAGGCGGTCTTGATGGGCGCAGTGCTGATGGTGAACACTTCCTTGGGGGGTTTCTTCCCAGTCTTGTCTACATTTGGGGAGAACACCTTATCCTTCTTGAAGTCAGTGATCGGCTCTTTCTTCCCGTGATGGGCAATACTTAGCTCCATGTCATGGGCACGGGTGGCTAACTCTTCAAATGTCTGTGATTTGATGCCTTGAAGGATATAGTGTAACCCCCATTGCATGCCTTGGACGCACATCTCAATCGAAGAGATCTCCGAGAGCCTGTCCTTGCAATCGAGGCTCAGATTACGCCATCGGTTGATGTAGTCCACGACTGGCTCATCCCTCCATTGCTTCGTGCTTGTCAGCTCTAGCATGCTCATGGTGCGACGGGTGCTGTAGAAACGGTTGAGGAATTCCCTTTCCAACTGTTCCCAGCTGTTGATGGATTCGGGCTCCAGGTCTGTGTACCACTCAAAGGCATTTCCTTTTAACGAGCGCACAAACTGCTTGGCGAGGTAATCTCCTTCCGTCCCTGCATTGTTGCAGGTTTCGACGAAATGTGCGACATGTTGCTTCGGGTTTCCTTTTCCATCAAACTGCATGAACTTTGGTGGTTGATAACCCCTTGGCATCTTTAGGGCATCAATCTTCTTGGAGTAGGGCTTTGAGTAGAATGATGAGGTATGTGAGCTCCCTTCGTACTGCGCCTTGATGGTGCTGGTTATCATCTCTTGCAGTTGTTGGATAGAAAGAGATCCCATGAGTGCCTCTGCTTGGCCTGGCTCCAGTTTCACATCGATTTTCTCCACCGGAGGCTCTTCATCCTCGTCGTTTTCCTTCTTTACTGAACCATCCCCTTGCTCGATTTTCACGTCGGGCTTTACATCTAGTTGGTTGACGAGTGCGGCGATTTGCTGGTCTTTTTCTTCCACAATCCGTGTTAGCCTTGTGATTGCTTCATTCATATGAGCCAACTGCTCATCGATTGAAGTCACTCCAGCAGTCATGACTTGCATGGCTGAGTTGCCGCTTGAGTCGACATCGGAAAGCATGAAACCAGAGTACTTCCTTGGGCTTTCCTTCCTTGGCGCCCTTAGCGAGGCGAGGGTGATCACAGGTTCGTGCCTCAGGTGTTCTTGTTCTTTCGGCGGAGTTGATGCAGAGGTGGAAGAGGCGGCAGAAAGAGCTCTTGCCTTGCTTCGAGTTGTGATGCCCGAAGTGACACCGCCTGCGGTGATGACGTTCTTGTTCCTTGCATTGGCTGCGAGAACAACTTGAGCCTTCTTTGATGCCATTTGTGCTTTTTGCGGATTCAAAGATAGAGATGAGAGCTAGAGATGGTCCCACTAGGCGTGCCAAATTTGTAAACACGGAAATTCCTGCGATGAACGAGACAAGAAACACGTGTACAAAATAATATTTGTATTGATGATTTAGGGGTTACAATCTCCTCTACAAATTTAGCCTCTGATTCTATCTTTGCAATGGGTGGATTTGATGTTGTTGGTCCAAAGGGCCGTCGGGGCTTGATCTTGGGATAAACAGTTGTGCAGATTTGTTGACGTCGTGGATCCAAAGGGCCATCGGGGCTTGATCTAGGGATGAACGAATGATGAACGATGGACACTTTCTTCAAGGGCTGTCGGGGCTTGATCTTGAATCAGTGGAAGTTCTTCAAGGGTCGTTGGGGCCTGATTTTGAATGAGGATTTGACGAAGAACGAAGAGAGCTCTCTTGATCCTTCGGGATTTGCTTGGGAGCTTTTGAGTTTCAAAGCTTCAAGGTTGTGGTATGAGGTGAATTGGTTATGAATTCGTGTCCAAAATGAATGCCTTGACCTCCTATTTATAGAATTCCAAAACTTGATTTTTTTGGATTTAAATAATTAGATGAAATAAATCATTTCTGCCAGGTGTTGACACGTGTCCTGTTTGATGACTTTTCTGATTTATTTTGATTTTTCGTTTAGTCACATGCTATGTGTAAAATTTATGTGACACATAAACATTGAAATTTTAATTATTGATCAACATTTATTTTACCGAAATTTCGATGTCTACAGTTGTGACCTTCGCAAGGTTTCTTTGGTCACCTAGTTAGGGTAAATATGTAAAGAGATAAGAGATAGGGAACCAACCCAAGGTGTATGTGGTTCATCCTAAGTTGGGCTACGTCCACGAGGGTAGATGAGTCCTCATTAATAATATAGAGTCTACTTGATACAAAGGTTTAAACATAATCATCATTAATGAGTTCTAATAATGGATCAAGTAGAATAATTTCATTAGCTCTTAATTTTGGGAGAATGATTTTCTTTTTTAGTTAAGGAGAGTCCCATGTTCTCGTCCGCGGTCGATGTGGGATTCTAGGAACTTTATTCTGGTGTGAACACGTGTCACGTCGTGATTAGTCTCTTGATTAGAGAGAACTCACTTGCTTCAGTAGGGATGCCTCAGCATGAACCATTCATTAATGAGTTCTACTTGACAGGTGCTCGATAGTTTCGAGGTTGGTGAAGTATGGCACTAACCAAGTTCCCAAGTAGGGAAAACTTCTCATTTGGGGACTTGAAAAATCCAAATTATTTAGTATTCACAAAACTTTCGAGCACCAAAGTGTAGTAGCAGTACTGGGAGTCCCTCAAGTCCCTAATCGAGAAAGATTACTGAAGCATGTGCCTTTATTTTGTCAAGTTACCGAGGGACCAAAATATTGAGTCACCTTTGAAAATTTTGTACAAAAACAGCTCCTTGCCCATGAACAAAACACAGCTAAACCTTTCCTTGCAACTGAGCCTTGTTTCATCAAACCTACGTTTGGATCGATTCTCATCTGGGCCACATACAAAACATTATCAGCAGGGCCACCTTAGCAAAGTTGTGAACTATTCTTTTAAGTCTTCAAAGTATAAAATTGACGAGTGCTCAATAATTTTAGAATTGATAAAATATGATACAAAAAGAATACATATGTGATCATATAACTTCTAAATATATTGATTTGAGGAATACTCTTTATTATAGTTTTTTCTATTTTACATAATGCGCGTAAGGCCGGGAAGGGGCCTATTGGCTACAGTGTGTTTGCCACTACCATGCACTAGTCATTTGTCAACTTAAATAAAAATTATGGACCGATGATGATGTGCCTTTAATTTGCCTTTCTTATTCGTTTCCACTTTATTTTCATCATCCTTTTGGATATTTTCTTGTAAAGTTCGTGCTCGGAGTACTATAAAGGTGCGTTTGTTTGACATGATTAAGTCTCATTGGACTGGATTGGATTAAAAACCAATGAAGTTGCATGTTTGTTGTTGGAAGGGACTAGGTTTAAATTTAGGGCACGTTTGTTTGGCTTCACTAACCTGGACTGGACTGGACTGGACTAGTTTTTAGTGTAATCCTCTGTTTGTTGGCTGGCAGGACTAAGTTTAATGGTATTAAGTGGGACTCGCTTTCACTAACTCCTTCATTAAGTGGTCCAAGCGAGACCTCCCAAATACGAGCGGACTAGCTAAGACCATCGTCGTCCTCCTGCTCGCTCGCTCTTCGTGTTCGTCCTGCTCGCCCTACTCGTCATGCTCGTCTAGATCGTCCTGATCGCTCGACTTACTACATCGGCCACGCTCGCTCGCTCGCTCGAGCAGCCTAAGAAATCGCCAGTCTCTCTCTCACTCGTCATTTACAAATTCCATTTGTTGTTTTGATTATGTGAAATCTGGATTGCTTTGATTTTGTGAAATCTGGGTTGGTCTTATGCTTTGAAATTGCTTGTTCTTCAATGATTTATGCTTCTGGGTATTTTATGATGTAGTTGTACGGATTTGATTTCTGCTTCTGTGAAATTGCAAATTCCATTTGCTGCCACTGTAAGTTAATTCATCTGTGTCTCTTGATTCAATCTTTGACTCCTGATACATTGTTTAGGTGGCTTTTAACCTCCTGCATAGAGCTACTTGATATTGTATCTATCAATCTATGCGAGGTCCAAGGTTTATCTTTTTATTTACTAATTTATCTTTGGGGGGAATTTTGTCATAATGAGTTAGATAGAGGCGTTCTAAGGGCTTATTTAGCATTATAATCAATTAATAAATGGATCATATGGATCATTATTGTTCCATAAAGTAGTTAATTGGTTATCAATATCATCCGTAAGGAGTGATATCTGGATTAAGCTTGCAGCTCTGTTCCTTTGTTTGGAAATTTTGTATGGGTTGGATGTAAGCATGAATCCTGGATTGTAAGATTATGGTGCCCTTTAACTGAAGCTTGTCATGTATTTGATTGAAATAATATGAAATAAGCACAACTGGTTGCTGATGGTGATCCGATGTAGTTTTTGGGACCTAATGAGACACTGCTCTAGATACCTGAAACATCAGTACTGAAAATGAAACATGATTGAGAAAGTCTTAGAAAAACATCCTACCTTTATATATAGGTACGTCAGATAGGCACACTCTTTCTTTGGCTTTATTCTTACAGCCAATTCTCTGTTTAGAATTGATGATATCGGAGCATTGATCTCCTTAACCTCCTTTCCTTCAATAATTGGCTATATTTTCTTATGATATCATAATAGGTTTTGCAAAAGGGGTATGGATGATGGGCGTGATTGATGAGATTCGAATGCCTGTTACAGAAACAAACCGAAACCCAATATTAGTTGACACAAGGACTCGTGTGAAAGATACACTTACTGTTGAACCACAACGAAGAAATGGAAGGTATGCACCTTTATTAGCTTCTGTTTTGGGCTGATTTTTTGTTGCCAAGTTGCCATTGATGAGGAAATGCACCAGAATGAAGTCACACTCTATTATGGCAGGCTTCAATTAATGTGCTACAAGTACATTTGGGATGATTTAGTTGCTGATAAATTCCCATCAAAGAAATTTTTCACTTTTTTTCCTTAAATCCTCATGGTATCTTATATGAAGAAATCACAGAGATGGCTGCTAACTCAAGGTTCCCAGCAGAGGTAAAGTCTCTCCATTGAATTATTTGATACATTTAGTCTAGGGAATTAGGATTTTCGGGGTTTTCTATTGTTTGATGTTCCCATTATCACTATACTTGCTTCAAAAACCAATCACTTGATATTAAGGATGCTTTTTTTTAGTAATTGTTTTGTTTATTAGTTCATAAACAAAATTGTGTGACATAGATTTTTCAGATAATTACCACTGATGACATAGGTGAAAAATTTGTTTCATAAACAAAATTTGTTTTGTTTATTAGTAATTTGTATAGGTAAACAATTTCTCTTGGTTGTGCAGACCCTTGATGACATAGTGAGATACTACAGAAACACATGTAGCATGCTGCCCTCTACACATGACCAGCTGCTATTGAGGTGAGTATAAAATTTATACACGAGATCTTTTACATTTGCTTGGTCACAATAACTTTTGGGAAGATACTGATATGACTATTTTTGAGTCAGATATGAGTTACAGAAAGATCATTCGTTACTTGGTGAAGATGAGTTTGCATACGACTCTGATTGGGTCAAGAATCAAATACAGGGTTGTCTTGAGTTCTGGTTAAGAGAGCGAGAAACAAGTTACACTCCTAAGGATGAGGGATGGAAATGCAGGTTCTGTCAATATTCTTCTGTTTTCCCCGCTAGACGTGCAAAGTCTGCAAACTATACTAATACACCAAGTTAGAGAAAAGCAGTAGCATTGGTGATGTTTCAATCAACATCGTCAGTAAGTGTACAAAGAAGCACAATTCTTGGAGTTGCTTCTTTGGGGTAATTGCTGTGTTAGTTGTGCCATGAATGTATCGTTCATGTTGTATCGTAGTCGTTGTTTGATTCAATTGTTGTAACTTAATTCTTTGGATGAAATCATTAAACAGGAGTTGTAAAATTCAATTATTTTGTATTGAAAGCTACGCTCAAAGTGCAAAGGATGTCTCTCTATCAAATTTAGCAAAGTCAGATAGTGATGTTACAATTGTATGTTAACATTAGGATGAATGAATATGGTATTATTCATGGATTTTGGGAGGCTGTGAAGAAGAAATCAAAATTTTCTTCCTCCAAATTTGTGGTCTGATAAGTTTGAGTTTTTAACAATTTTGGGTTGCTGAATGTTTATAGATTTCTCAATTATAGAGGCTTAAAGGGATTTTAGACCAAAAAGTGAGAAAGTTTGATGTACTGATTCTAAATTCATAAGTTGTAGGAAAGCGTTGTTTGTTTTTGCAAATTGCAATGCTACAATGCACAAAAACTCAATATTTTCTTTCGTTTCCAAGCAATTGTTGTTGAGTTTAATGTAATTATCATTTGATTTGACTGTGGGCATTTTGCAGTTGAGTTGGATGTAATTCTATCGTTAAAATTTGTAATTTCACTATTTTTCATTATCCTGGTTTTTAGTCCGACACTGCACCAAACGCTTCACTAAATTAGTCTAGCTTAGTCTATTCTAAGCCAGTCCAGCTTAGTCCCTGAAATTAGTCCAGTCCGAGATAGTCCGGTGCAACAAACGCATCCTTATTGGACTGGATTGGATTAAAAACCAATGAAGTTGCATGTTTGTTGTTGGAAGGGACTAGTTTTAAATTTAATGGGCTTAGCTCTCACTCGCTCCGACTACCGACTTCGCTAAAGGATCTTAGCTAGTCCCCCCGCAAAACATGGGACTGCTAATACCACATCTCTCGCGTCCTTCATCTCCGACTGACAACTCATATCTTCGGCTCCTCAATTTGGCCAACTCGATCATCAGCCACAGCAGCTGCAAAACAAAAACCAAATTGCCGCTGCAGAGAGCTCCAACTAGTGAAAACCTCCGAGGAAGATCCTGCTCTGGCCGCATTCGATTTACCTTCAAGCTCGCCAGGGCCGACGCCGGCCAGGAGGTTTTCTTCTCTATCCTCTCTCAATTTCCAGTCCGTGTTTTCTCTGCTGATTTAGGTCAAGATATGATTGTGTTTATTCGATCTTCAATTTGGTGGTTGGATGCTTTTTGCTCAATGTTTTGGATCGAGTAATTGAACTGAGTACGAATCAAATTCATATCAGCCCACTTTGCATGTTCAATTGGGATACTGATTTCCACCATTGTTTGTTGAAAGAGAGAGAGAGAGCCCAAAAATTTTCGTTAACTTTGTGTATGTTGTCGAATCAAGTCAAGTCAACTAGTACAATTGCTGAACTAAAATCTGATCCAACTCTCTTGAGGCAACTGCTCTCTCCTCTCTTCTCTCTTGCTTGAATCCCAATTTCTACCTCTCAATGTCTTAATTTGCTTGATCTTCTCAAAAAAAAAAATGTCTTAATTTGCTTGATTGGATCCTCTCCCAATTGCAAATTGATAAAATCTCATTCATCTCCAATATCCCATTCTCTCTCTTCGATATATTATCAAGCACTAACTTCTTTCTCCTTTTTTTATTCCTACAGGTCCATTGTTAGTTCCTTGAGTGAAACACAGGAAACAGATGGAGTGTATCATGACTATCTTGCATCTGTGCTGCAGATCGTTAACATTTTCTTCTCCATCATCATCAGCAGCTGCTGCTGCTGGTGAAGATGATAATGATGGTGGTATTGAAGCTAATATTCCCCCTCGTCGGGAAAAGTATGATGTGTTTATCAGTTTCAGAGGTGAGGACACTCGCCTTGGTATTACGAGCCATCTTCATGCTGCCTTACTTCAGAAGAAAATTGAAACCTACATAGATTACAGACTTCAGAGAGGAGAAGAAATCGGACCTGCCCTTCTAGAGGCAATCGAGAAATCCACGATTTCGGTTATCATTTTCTCACAAAACTATTCTTCCACATGGTGTTTGGATGAAATTGTGCATATACTCAAGTGCAAGGAAAGATATGGCCAGATGGTTATACCCGTATTCTACAACATCAATCCATCTGATGTACGAAAACAACACGGAACTTATGCGGATGCATTTGCTCAACTTGAAAAACGTTTTAAGGACAATATCGATAAGATGCACAAGTGGAGGGATGCTTTGACGACTGTAGCCAATATATCTGGGTTTGATTATTCAAACAAATCCGGGTAACTATCTCATTCTTTAACTTGTATAAAATTATAAATTTTCTTTAAACGTGTGACAAGTTTTGGTAAAGCGTATTTAAGACTAACTATTGCTTTTCTACCTAATCATATATATCTATATGCCAGGACGGAGGCAGATCTAATTCAGAAAGTTGTCGATCATATTTGGACCAAATTGTGTCACGAATCATCCTGCGATTTAAAGGGCTTTGTTGGAATTGAAAGCCAGATCAAGCATATTGAATCACTATTAGGCATTCATTCACCTGACGCTTGCATCACTGTTGGTATTTGGGGCATGGGTGGTATTGGCAAGACCACCCTTGCTGAAACTGTGTTTCACAGACTCCATTCTAAATTTGAAGCTTGTTGTTTTCTTAGAAATGTTAGGGAGAGAGAACAAAAAGATGGGCTAGCACACTTGCAAAAAGAACTTCTCAGTGAGATATTAAAGGAAAATGGTCTATCCATAGGATCAACTTTTGTTCGAGAAAAGCTCAGCCGTACAAAGGTCCTCATTGTTCTTGATGATGTGAGTAATTCAATGCAAATGGAACGTCTAGCGTCCGAGCATCTACAGTATGGCACTGGAAGTAGAATCATTATCACAAGTAGAGATAGGAGAATACTTAGGCAAACTGTTGAAGAGGGTAAGATCTACAAGGTTGGGGGATTAAAATGGGATAATGCTTTTCAGCTCTTTTGTTCGCGTGCTTTCAAGAATAACAGTACTCCTAGAACAGATTATAAGGAGTTGGTAAAAAAGACGGTGTCTTATGCCGGAGGCGTTCCTTTAGCTCTTATACTTTTGGGGTCCTCATTCCTAAATTGCAAGAGCAAAGAAGACTGGGAATATGAATTGGACAAATTGAAAGAATTTCCCAATGAAAATATCCAGAGTGTGTTAAGACTAAGTTACGATGGACTGGGAAGATATGAGAAGGAGATATTTTTGGATATAGCATGTTTTCATAATGGGAAGGATGTCAATGAGGTAATAAAAATGTTAGCTATCCATGGACGCTTTGTGGCGGCTGGAATTAGAGTTCTCGTTGACAAGTCTCTCATATCACTTCATCATCCTACATGGAAAACCATACAGATGCATGATTTGCTACAAGAAATGGGAAGAGCAGTGGTTCAAGAACAATGTATTGAAGATCCCAGTAAACGGAATAGGTTGTTCGCTGATGAGGATGTATATCATGTACTGAAGAGTAACACAGTAAGTGCCAAATGCATTCAAATTATTTTTTTTTTTAAGGAAAAACAAATAGTGAACTTTAGATGATAACACAACAAAGTAAAACCAGATTCTTAAAAAATGAATTTTACTACTGTGTTAGGAAGTCATTGGAATATGAACACATATTTGTTTTTTAAGACAAGTAGAGGAGGATATAATTATCTTGGATATTTCACTAGACACTTGTACATCATTACCTTCGCAAATACTCTTAAATTATCCTATAACTTTGTAGAATTCTTTTTTCAAAATGTGCATTACATTTTAACGGGTTGGAAATATCTATAAATATATATTCACATTTAAACTTTGTCCATATTGTCAGGAAGCTCCAATTGTTCAAGCCATATTCGTTAATTGGTTTAAGATTAAAAAGCAACCATTGAAACGTGCAGACTTCAAAGTGATGTCCAACCTAAGATTGCTAATTGTGGAGTCTCAAGGATTTGGCATCTACCGCAGAGACCCTTCTCTAGACCTTCCTGATTCTCTTCGTTATCTTTACTGGTGGGGATATCCACTGGAATTTTTGCCGCCAAACTTTTCTCCTGAAAATCTAGTTGAGCTTCACATGCCCAATAGCAAAGTTAAGAAGCTTTGGAAAGAAGACCAGGTATTATATCATAGAGTTTGCACACATCACATTGCCACATAAATATATTTTAACATACACTTTTTTAGCTGTTTAAAATTATTAATTAATATTTTTTTTATATCGTGTAACGGGTTATCTTAAGAGGTGCTTATCGGGTTACCCAATAATGACCTGATTTGTTAACGTGTCGACCCCAAACCTTTTAATTTTGTGTTGTTTCAGGTCGGGTTAATAGGTCGCTTAAAATTTTGTCAAACCTAATTATATGCCTTTATTCTTGTATAAAAACAAGCGTAGAAAGTATATTAATTCTTGATATTTTTATTTAATTTGTTGCAGATACTTGTGAACTTAGAAGTTATCGATCTGCATTACTCTGAGTATCTAACTGAAGTTCCAAATCTCTCTGGGAGTCTAAAAATTGTGCACATAAATCTCGGTGGCTGTAAAAGTTTGGTTGAAATTCCTTGGTATTTTCAACATCTGGACAAGCTTACTCATCTTGATCTTACATACTGCAACAGACTCAAGTATCTTCCAATGATGCCAGCAAATATTAAATACTTAAATTTAGAAGGAAGTGGTATAAAGGAGTTGCCTGAATCAGTTTGGTCTAACGAAAATATTTCTTACTTGAATATAAGTCGTTGCAAAAACCTTGAGAAACTTCCAAGCTGTGAGCTGAAAGTCTCTAATGTTTTGGGTATTGCGAGCTGCACATCTCTTGGCGAGTTTTCTGAGCTTCCCAGGGATATAAGTAAATTATCATTGGTTGGCTTCAAGAGACTTGTGAGTCTACCAACCAACATTTGTAAGTTGAAATATCTCAAGGAACTCAATCTCTCTAAGTGCTCTGAACTTGAAAACTTCCCAGAGATCTTGGAGCCAATGAAACATTTGGAGTCCTTAAATTTAAGTGGAACAGCGATTCAAGAGCTACGCTCATCAATCGAGTTTCTCCCTGCTCTCAAAAGCATTCAACTACAAGGTTGCAAAAGGCTTTCAAGTATCACAAAGAGCATTTGTAAGTTGAAATATCTCAAGAAACTTGATCTCTCTTGGTGCACTAAACTTGAAAACTTCCCAGAGATCTTGGAGCCAATGCAACATTTGAAGTCCTTAAATTTAAGTGGAACAGCGGTTGAAGAGCTACACTCATCAATCGAGTTTCTCCCTCATCTCCAAATAATTCAACTACAAGTTTGCAGAAGGCTTTCAAGTATCCCAGAGAGCATTTGTAAGTTGAAATATCTCAAGAAACTCGATCTCTCTTGCTGCTTTAAACTTGAAAACTTCCCAGAGATCTCGGAGCCATTGGAACATTTGGTGTCTCTTATTTTGCAAGGGACAGCTGTCGAAATGCTTCCTTCGTCTATTGAAAATCTAATTAGGCTTCAAACTTTAGACCTTAGCGACTGCAAGAACCTTAACGATGTCCCAACAAGTATCTACAGTTTAACCAATCTTAAATGTCTCTACTTTTCTAACTGTCGGCAACTTGAAAAATTGCCTTCCAGCTCTGTGGGTTTTCTCTCCTTAGAAGTACTAGATCTCAAGTACAGCGGTATATTGGAAATCCCTGATAGTCTCGTTTGCTCAACCTTGCGATCTTTATCTCTGTCTGGAACCAAGATTACGAGCATACCTGCAAGCATCAAACAAGCTTCTCGGTTGTTTAAACTCAACATTGTCTGCTGCAAGTGGCTTCAATCTTTACCAGAGCTCCCAGTGCTATGTAATGTTAAAGCTCAAGGCTGCAATTCGTTGAAGACGGTATCAAATTCAAGGACAGCACTCACATAAGGTTGGGTTTAACATGGTCATTTTTGCAAACTTTTTACTAATTGCCCAAAATTGGATAATAATGCGAGCAGCAACATAATGGATGAAGCACAGATTAGAATTATGCGAGTGGTAACTACTGAGTACCTACTTTGGCCTTAGATTAACGTTGGATGCCTGGGAAAAGAAATTCCAAATTGGTTCAGTTACCAAAGTGAGGGATCTTCAGTTAACATCAAGCTTCGTCCAGATTGGTTTCAAGCAAGTTTATTGGGTTTCGCACTCTCAACTGTTGTTTCTAGGCTTCAAAGCCGCAGTGTGACTTAAGGGTAAGAGCTAATTTCATTGAAAAAATTCACGGGTGAAAGCCATGAACTGTTCACTTCTGAAATCTTTATACCAAGCAGCGGCCACGAACATCACATTCATGTGTGGAATGAGGCCTTTAGAAGTGAAGATGTAGGAAAAAACTGCTCCCCTGATGTTTACAAACTTGCCAAAGAGGCCTCTATTGACTTCTGCCTGGTGGTTTCTGAAGGATGACCTGCTTCTGCTTCCTATATGAAGGTGGAAAGTTGTGTTGTATGCCATTTGTATGCCGAAGATGCTGAGAAATTCAAGTTTGATCATGTCTTCGTATCGAGGGAACCAAAAGTAGAAGAAGAAACAAGATAAGATGACGATTATGAAGGTGGTGCATAAAGAGATGAGCCTAAAGCTAGTGGATCAAGTGATTGAGTCCTAAGCAAATGAAAGTGGTGATCATGGGTCTGAAGCCAGTGGAACTGAAGATGGTTCAGACTTTTAATCCAACAATCTTAAGCATCATTATCCAATAAAATTAGGAAAAACTTTACAGCAAATTTGTACTTTGGTAGCTCGCTTACTTGTCAGTCCAGGAAAATACTTTTAAGGCTTTTATTATTGAGTTTTTATCACAAATGGTGCCTGAATTTGACCTTCACCATCAAGATGGTCCCTGAAATCGAAAATCAATCAATGAAGTCCCTGAAAATAGGTATCACAAATCAATGTGGTTATTCCATCACAATTCTTTAAAAAATTCTGTTAAGTGCTGATGTGGAACATAAATGGGTCTATAAGTCTTTTTTTTTTTTTTTCTCACAAATGGTCCTTGAAATTGACCAACAATATCAAAAAGGTTCCTGAAATTGACCCGCGACACCAAAATGGTTCCCAAAACCGAAAATTAATCAATGTAATCCCACAAGTAAGTGTCTCAAATCAATAGTCATTTCGTCACAATTCTGTCAAAAATTTTGTTATGTGCTGATGTGACACATAAATGGGTCACACGAGTCTAATTAAATTTAAAAAAATAAAAAAAAATTGTCAACCCACAAACCCAATCCTAAAATCACCTCCGATCTCATTCCACATTTCTCTACCTCCCTTGCTCTTTATTATCTAAAAAAATCTCAATACACCCATCTTTACACACTTCGACACCCTTCACCGAATTGAATTTGGATCGAGATCACCTTTGGTAACGGCTTGGCACATTGGCAACGACTTCTAGGACATCACCATTAACATTGAGACGATCAACATCCTCACAACCTTAATCTTGGATAGCTTGTTCGGCGTTTCCATGGTGGTCTAGTGATGCAAAGAACGACAAGGTCTGCCTTGAGATAATGAGGTTATAATCGAGGTGCGTCTATTCTTGGTTGAAAACTATTTCCACACCCCCTCTTAGGCTTTGGTTAAACCTTGTGCCTTTGAAAATTTATGGAATGGATCTCTCTTCAAAGTAGGCCTTACTATAAGAAAAAAAAAATTCCATTGTGCAAAAAGGTATTTAGACAACTTTTTAATAATACAATCATCAAATTTGTAAATAAAACTATAGGGGTCTTCACTTCAATAGGACTAAGGAACATTCCAAAATTAAGAAGAAAAATTATACGTCATGTTACAAGCTAAAGGAAAAAAAGAAAGAAGAAAAAGTGAGATGCATACACAAAGAGACACATTACAAGTTCGATGGTTGAAATGCATTTGGACTCGGAAATATTCAATTTTATCTCTAGCATTTAAAATTTCTTTCTCCAAGTCTTTGGGATATTTGTTATGATTTGACACTAATCAGGAAGTAACATGCACACATAACTTTGCTGCTTAAGATGAAAAAATTGGGGAAACATTAAAGTTTTAAGTACCTTTTTTTATCAGCTTCGGTTGCTTCTTTGAACTTCTGAGTTCAGTGAGTTAACCTCCTCTGTACTCGGTTGATTTACAAGATGTTTCTCCATTTCTGGTACTCTGGGTTTCTACTGATTCGCCTGTTACTTTTCCTCAGCATGAGGAGCAACTGGCTTCGGTGGCCTTCCTCTAGCTGGAGGTGCTATGTGCGACGCACCAAGGCTAGGCATCGGTTGCTGTTATTGAAAGCCTTTTAAAGTGAAAAATATAAGTGATTTGTTTTATGAATGAATACCAGATGTAGGTCTCCACGCTACGTACATTGCCAGCATTGGAGTAATTATTTGCAAGTTTTAACATATTGGATAAATCAAACATTGTTGTAGGCCTATTTGAATGAAGAATTATAGAGAAAGTGAGAGTGAGGGTGCGGCAATTGATGAGTTGATATTATACTTTATATTTTACTCTAATCTTAGTTATAATTTATTGGTTATTTTGGTAGAACTTTGATACTTTGTTATGGATTTTCAATATAGGACATTCGACTTCCTCTTAAGCAAAAAGTGATCAAACGGATGAATTTTGGAGTGATTCCAATTGAAGGATGTTCGTGAGTGTTTCAAGATGATTGTATCAAAATTTCAGATTTTTCTACCAAGCCGTTTGACCGTGGCAATGAAATAAAGACTCAGCGCACAGCTTTCCCAAATTGACGTTTCTGGACGTTTTGGGTATTTTGAAGGTCAAGATTCCTTCTAAGTATTTGTTAGGGACGTCTCAAGCTTTAAAAACAAAGATCTTTCGAGACAAATTGGAGTTGATTTGGTTGGTCAAAAGATGGATTTTCTTTGTAGTCCGAATTTCAGTTTAAATAGGAAACCTTTTATTTCCTATTTATCTTATTCTATTATTTTTCCTAGTTTTTAGAAGACCTTTTCTAGGTATGATTTTATTTTGTAGTAGTATAAATAAGGCTATTTAGCCATTAGAAAAAAATGACGGATAAAATTTACAGGAGAACGCACTATGAGAAAAGGCACTACTTTGGAGAACTCAGTTTAGAGAGCTTTTGACGATTCAAGTTTATTTTCAAGGTGTTTTCTATCTATATTCTTAATAATATTTTGTTTTATGATTGTTCGTAACTAATTCATTTTGCTAGGGCGAGGCCACAAGTCTTAGCAAGAATATGTAGTTTCTTTTCAATTTGCTTATGATATTATGCATGCAAGTTTGAATTGTTAATCACCGGTTTAAATTATCTAATTGTCTTGATGATTGGCCACCATTAGGATATTTAGAAAATTAATTTGATGCAATTTTGGCCGAGGGCTGTCCCTGAAATTGACTACGGCTTCTTGTGGTTAATATGTGTAACTTCTTAGGATGGACTACACATCTTAAGGGTTATATGGTTTTTCAAAAGGTTTTCACAAAACTTAATGAGTTTTGCATATTCACATTTGATCTGAATGCCACGGATGGGTTGCATGTTAGATATACGTTTTTGTTGGAGGTTCAAAGTAGGATATACTTTAGGAAAACCTAACCTTTAAAATATGCATTTGTAATTCATAAGTAATTGAAAGAACTACATAGGATTGTTAAGGTGACTGTGGAACCCTAGTGCTTAAATAGATTTTCGAAAGTATTTTCTTTTCTTTTATTTAATTTGCCAATTTATTTTTTTTAATTAAATTCGTTTTTAATATTTTAGGTCATAAAATCACCCTTTTCCAAACTTTGTTTTCAAATAATTAATTAAGATTTGAGTTTAACATAAATTATTCATTCAATCTTTGTGAAAAACGACCTTACTTAAGCTGCTATACTACGATAACCTTGTACTCTTGCAAGTATTTTTATCCCTACTTTTGTAGGTGGTAAAAATCCCTATCAAGAAATTGAGCTGCTGCCAGGAATTGTTTTAAATAATTTATGTTTATCATATTCTTAGTTAATTATTTTTGTACATAACTTTTTATTTACTTGATTTTATTTTATTTTTTTTAGGTTACAGTTTGTGCAACAATGGAATTTGTACCTCCTCCTATACAACCCGGAGGACCGCCTTTCTGGGTCAAATCTGTAGAATGAGGTTTTTATGGATTTAAATCTACAATTTGTGCACATTGCTGTTTGAAGACCCATGATATTTTGCAGTGTCTCGAAAGGGAATATTTTCCAGGGTTTGTCCAAGAGCATATCAATATGAGAAACTACTCAAAAAGAAATTGGGACAATCCATATCCAGAGTTCTACACCCCAAGTCTGCAAAAGCATCTTGTGCATTATTTTGAGCAGTCTAATGTGCCACAAGTGCTTTCGGTAAAGGACAAACTCTCTAAATTGTTGGAATCAACTGAGTTATACATATGGAACTCTAAGAGCGGATTTTAAGGTGCTTATTTCATATTGGTGACACATCACATGGTTTCTAAATTGGAGTACAATTCTCCTCTCCAAATCCCTTGCCCTTCGCTCCTTTAACACTTTTCTCTTTGTCTCTCCTCTATAAAAAGTTCAACACAAGATGTTGATGTAACTTAATTATGACTGTTCAAATAGGAGGGGAGGGAAATGAAAGGGAATTTACAGGGGAGAGAATCCCACCCCTCACAAATTTGGTTTTAAAAAAAATTAGTTTACCTAGCATTACTTTTATGAACAATATCTAAAGGGTAATGTTAGGGACAACAAATTTCTGAACCAAATTGTGTATCAAATGATGTGGATATTGATGATTGAATTATTACTTATTGATTAATGTGCTTATTTACTATTGATAACATATCATTTGGTTTGCAAATTTAATTTTCCTAACATTATCCATATCTAGAAGCAAGGCATGTGTTGCACATCGAGGAGTAATAAACCACCATATACAATCAGAATTTTGAACATGCGCATAAATAGCTAGGGCTTGAGCAACAAAATTCGCTTCTCTAAAAACACCGGTAAAACTAAAATAAATCACAAATGAAACATCGGTTTATCATGTATATTTTACATGATGTTATACAACTTGATGGTGATATTATCTGTTATTCTTTTGCAATTATATATAATTGTTAACCTTACTGTAATTGGTTTAATTATCTACTGTTAATCCTTGTTTCTCAAGGAATTATTAAAAAGGACCTAAATAATCTCCAAGATATACATAAGAGTTTTCACTTGCTTAAGTTTCGCGTAGAAAAGTTTCGTTATATATAATTTCCAACCGGCAAGAATATATACCTTCTCACTTCCTAATTTCCCTCACTACTCTCTCATCTCTCTCGATATCTACACCATGGATTCTATTTCAAAGTTGAAGAGCAATAAGATGGCCATCGGCCGCAGCAGAATCCCCAGCAACTCCATCCCTCAACCCTTGTGTCCTGATCACATCACCAACCTCGCGCGTATGGCGACGATCAAGGCTTGAGACGCTGCAGAAGCATATTTCTCGCTCGGTAACTTCGAATATGCAATCATGCAAGCCAAGGCAGCAAAAGAGTTCGAACCGGATTTGCATGCTATGGGCAACTACATAGCTGCATACCAAGTTCATTCTGCCGTGTCACACAAGCAAAACTGGTATCGTGTTCTCGGCATCGAAAACCCTACAATTGCCAACTCAGAAACCATCAAGAAACAAAACAAGAGATTGGTACTTGCCTTGCACCCCGACAAGAATGCATCAATAGTGGTCGAGGGTGCTTTCAAGTATGTTAAGGCGGTGTGGGACGTTCTCTCAAACCCTGCTAAAAGAGAAGCTTATGACAAGTCTTTGAGGTGACACTTTCAAGCGGCTCATGGTTCCAATAAGCGCAGAGCTAGTGAGCGTAAACCACCACAGTCAAAGAGGTCTAATACCTTCCCTTGCGAAAGGTCTCGCCCTAGCGGTGATGGGAGCTGCTAGAAGAAAATCCAGGCCAAAAGGCAACAGTGATGATGGTATCTGTTGGAATTAAATAGAATTTGGTTTTGACCAAATGGTTGAGAAGGAAGAAACCAACAGTTAATTGAATGCTTAGTCTTATCAGACAAGTGTATGCTTTAGATTACTGTTTGTGAATCAAGGGCTGATATTGCTCTAGAGTAACTTGTAAGAGAAAAGTCCAATGTGTTGATATAAAATGAAAATACATGTGCTTGCTCCAGAGAGATAGCACTACACATTCCTCTGAAATTCCTAATTCTTGTTCCTTGTCAATTTCCAGAAATACATCATACCAACTACAAATTAACACACAAGAATTTATCATGGCCTCAGAGCATAGGTTCTGATCAATTTCAGGACTGGGCGTTTTGTGTGCTTCATATCTCTGAAAAGAAAAGGGGAAAAACAAACCCATATTTTGAAAAACCTCATATGTTCTTCCAAAGTCTCACATGGCTACCTCGAGCAGTGGAGGAGATTTGAGGGCTCCTATCTTTAATGGGTCCAACTATGATTTTTGGTCCATCAAGATGAAGACCATATTCAAATCACATGATCTTTATAATTTGGTGGACAAGGGTTTTGAAATCGCAGAAACTAAAGATGAGTCTAGCAATGAAGATCAACAGTTTGTGAAGAAGATGTCAATGAAGGTTAATGAAAAAAGAGATGCAAAAGCTCTTAGTATCATTCATGGGGCAGTGTCTCAAACTTTGTTTTTCCTCGAATCTCAAACTTTGAAACCTCCAAGGCTGCGTGGGATGTTCTTCAACAAGAATTTTGTGGTGATAAAAATGTTAGATCTGTCAAACTACAATGTTTAAGGAGAGATTTTGAGTACACTAGGATGAATGATGGTGAAGCTTTATCTGCTTATTTAATAAGAATGACTGACATTATGAACCAAATGAAAACTCTTGGTGAAGAACTGTCAAACCAAAGATTAGTGCAAAAGATACTTATTAGCTTGCCTAAATCCTATGATTCCATCGTATCTATTATAGAAGAAACTAAGGACCTTGACTCCATTGAGGTTCAGGAGGTGATTGGTACATTGAAAGGCTATGAGCAGAGGTTAAACATGCACTCTGAAAACTTAGCTAAAAGGGCTTTTGCTAGCCTAAGTGTGACTGAGGGAGATAGCAGTTACAAGGCTCAGAGGAACAACTCAAATTAAAAGAAATTCTGGAAAGGAAAAGGGAAGAAATGGGACAACAAGCATACTCCACAATCAAGATCAGAAACTAGCAGTGATTCTACCAAAACCAAGTGTAAAATCTGTGACAAATTACACTATGGTGTTTGCTGGTTCAAGGGAAAACCCAAATGCCCCAAGTGTGACAGATTTGGCCATCTAGCAAAAGATTGTAATCCAAGAAGAAACCAAGCTGTCAACTATGCACATAGAGCAGAAGAAGAGGAAGTAAATGTCTTTTATGCTTGTAGTGTTGCAAGAATAAAAAATAAGAGAAGAATCTGGTTTATTAACAGTGGATGCAGTAATCATATGACTGCATATGAATCCTTGTTAATAAACATTGATAGAAGCTTCAATTGCAGAGTTAAAATAGGGAATGGACAACTTGTGGAAGCTACTGGAAAAGGAACTCTTGTTCTAGAGACAAAGGGTGGAAGAAGATTCATCAAGGATGTGATACTTGTACCTGGCCTAGATGAGAATCTCTTTAGTGTGGGACATATGATTGCTCATGGTTATTTCTTACTTTTTGGAGACAATATGGTGGAGATCCTTGATGACAAAAGCCTCCAAAACTTGGTAACACAAGTTGGCATGATAGGAAACAAAAGTTTTCCACTTATGCTAGATTACAATGACTCAATTGCTCTAAAAGCAAGTGTTGCAGAAAACTCTTGGTTATGGCACAAGAGGTTTAGACATCTCAACTTTCACAGTTTAAAGAGATTGGAGAAATTACAAATGGTGACTGGTCTTCTTAAGTTACAAAAGACTAAAGAACCTTGTGAAGGTTGCATATTAGGGAAACATCACAGGGACTCTTTTGAAACTGGAAATGCATGAAGAGCAAGCCAACCTCTAGAACTCGTTCACACAAATGTGTGTGGTCCAATGAAGAAACATACATTTGGTGGGAACAGATACTTTCTGTTATTCATTGATGACTGCACCAGGATGGTTTGGGTATACTTTATGAGAAACAAGAGTGAAGTTTTTCAATCTTCAAGAAATTCAAGGTGATGGTTGAACTTCAAAGTGGTCTCAAGATCAAAAGACTAAGAACTGACAGAGGTGGTGAGTTCACTTCATTTAAGTTCCAAGAATGCTGTGAATGAGCAGGATTACAGAAGCAATTGACAGTGGCCTACACACCACAACAGAATGGTGTATCAGAGAGGAAGAACATGACTGTGGTTGAAATGACCAAGTCAATGCTACATGATAAGAAAATGCCACTTTCCTTTTGGCGTGAGGCTGTCAATACATCTGTGTATCTCCTAAACAGGTGTCCAACTAAAGCACTTGAAGGTGTTCGGATCAATCTGTTATGCACAGATACCATCTCAATTAAGACACAAGCTTGAAATCAATAGTATCAAGTGTGTTCTTGTAGGCTATGGAAGCTGTGAAAAAGGCTATAGGCTCTACAATATTGAGTCGCATAAAGTGATTATCTCAAGAAATGTGGTGTTCAAGGAAAATGAAGCATGGAATTGGGAAACCAATAACATTGACACCATCTCATTTCCACTAACAATAGAAGAAGCACAAGATGATGTGCAAATTGAGAATGAACCTGTTATACAGGATGGAAGTCAAAATGAATTTTCAACCCCAACACAAGGATCTCAGTCATCTGCTTCAAATGCAGAAGGATAAGAATCGCAGGATTCCTCCCCAGAATCAACTTCATTGAGAATGAGGAGTTTAGATGAGATCTATGTAGTATGTAACTATTGTGTTGTTGAACCAGAAAGTTTTGAAGAAGCTGAGAATGATCAATCTTGGCAGAAAGCAATGAGTGAAGAAATTGCCATGATTGAGAAAAACTCTACTTGGAAATCGGTAAATAGACCGAGTGATAAACCTGTGATAGGTGTGAAATGGATCTACAAGACCAAACTGAATTTGGATGGATCAATACATAAGAACAAAGCAAGATTGGTTGCCAAAGGCTACTCACAACAACCTGGGGTAGATTTCAATGAAACCTTTGCCCCAGTGGCAAGGTTAGATACCATTAGAACCTTGATTGCTCTTGCTGCTCAAAAGGGATGGAAAATTCACTAGTTAGATGTTAAATCAGCCTTTCTAAATGGCACTCTGGAGGAAGAAGTGTATGTGGATCAACCACAAGGATTTGAAGTTTCAAATGAAGAAGAGATGGTGTATAAGTTAAACAAAGCACTGTATGGACTCAAACAAGCCCTCAGGGCTTGGTACAGTGAGATAGACTCTTGTTTCAGGAAAAGTGGATTAACAAAAGTCCTAGTGAAGCTACATTGTATACAAAAACTGGTGAGAACTCTAAGATGCTTATTGTGTCTATATATGTTGATGATGTGGTCTTTATTGGTAATTGTGAAGAAATAATTGAAGAATTCAGAAGGGACATGATGAGACAATATGAGATGACGGATCTTGGCTTGTTGCATCACTTCTTGGGAATTGGAGTAATACAAGAAGTTACTGGGATTTTCATACATCAACAGAAGTATGCACAATTATTGCTTGAAAGATTCAATCTGGAAGGATGCAAATCTATGGCAACGCCATTGATCACAAATAAGAAACTTAATGGATGGTTCTGAACCTGCTAATGAAAGCTTATATAGAAAAATGGTTAGAAGTTTACTTTACTTGACTGCCATAAGGCCTGACATTATGTATGCAATCAGTCTCTTATCAAGGTTCATGCATAATCCCACAAGAATTCACATGGGAACTGCCAAGAGAGTACTTAGGTATATCTCAGGGACCTTGGACTATGGAATCAAGTATGAAAAGGGAGAAGAAGCAACTCTGGTAGGCTTCTGTGAAAGTGATTGGGGTGGCAGTGAAGATGACATGAGAAGTACTTCAGGATATGCATTTACATTTAGTTCTGGGATATTTTCTTGGGCCTCTGTCAAGCAACAAAGTGTTGCACTGTCTACGGTTGAGGCAGAGTATGTGAGTGCTGCAATGGCTACCTCCCAAGCTATATGGTTGAGGTTTGTGTTAAAGGATTTTGGTAAAATGCAAGTGGATACTACACCACTTATGTGTGACAACACATCAACAATAGTTATGACCAAAAATCCTATTTTTCCCCAAAAAACCAAACATATCAAAAGGAAGTTTCACTTCATAAGGGAAGCCTTGCAAAAGAATACAATTGAACTGATCTACTGCAAATCACAGGATCAAATGGCAGACATCTTCAACAAAGCTCTACCAAAGGAAAGATTTGTCTATCTCATAGGAATGCTTGGGATCAAAACCAGAATTCATTTAAAGGGGAGTGTTGGAATTAAATAGAATTTGGTTTTGATCGAATGGTTGAGAAGGAAGAAACCAACAGTTAAGTGAATGCTTAGTCTCATAGGACAAGTGTATGCTTTAGATTACTGTTTGTGAATCAAGGGTTGATATTGCTCTAGAGTAACTTGTAAGAGAAAAGTCCAATGTGTTGATATAAAATGAAAATATCTATGCTTGCTCCAGAGAGAGAGCACTGCACATTCCTCTGAAATTCCTAATTCTTGTTCCTTGTCAATTTCCAGAAATACATCATACCAACTACAAATTAACACACAAGAATTTATCAGTATCCGTATGCCGGGTGGCTTAATGTGTTCCTCGCTTTCTAGTTAATTTGATTCCTTGAAATTTTGGCGTGCTTACTGTTGCATACGTGTACTTTTTATTCACTACAATTTTGTTGAATTAATCAATTTTGAATGTCTTAAATTGTTCCCTTATCCCACTTTTATATTTTCTATCTAGTCATGATGTTAATATTTTCTGGCTCTGAAAGTAGTTTCTGCAGCAATCTGTGGCTGCCGATGTTGGATAACCTTGCTAATATACAGCGTAGCACGTAGGAATGAAAGAGATCAAATAGGGTTTATATATTAAGAATGATAACCTTTATTTTATTAGCAAAATACATACAAAATTAATGCAAAAAAATGCAACTAGAACATACTTGACATGCGAAAAAAGTCGCAAAGAATAAATAATCTATGCTATATATGGCTCTTGCATGCATGAGAGCGCTTGCGAGGAGGATAAGTATTTTGTAATCATGCACTCAGACTAGTTAGTACTACTTGTAGAGTTGAGCAAGAAAGCTTATGATTTCTCTCATGGTAGAAGTTGTTTTTCAAAGAAGCATCAGCTGAGAAGATCATGACCCCATTAATTCGAAATCCATTCGTCTACAATTAACTCGAAATCCATTCGTCTGCAACAGTGTCAAAGCATCAAAAAAGGCATCCCCTTGAGTTTCTCTTCCATCTACTTCTTAGGCAGGCATCAGAAAAGGTCAAAACACAAGAGGTTGACGTAACTTAATCGTGACCGTTCAAATAGAACAGGAGAGGAGAGGAATTTAGAGGAGAGAGAATCCTAACCCTTGCAAATTTGGTTAAAAAAAATTAGTTTATCTAGCATTACTCTGTGAAGAATATCTCAAAGCAAGGATGTGTTGCACATCGATGAGTAGTAACCACCATATACAATCAGAATTTTGAATTAAATAGCTAGGGCTTGAGCAACAAACTTTGCTTCTGATAAGCTCATATTTATATATATTTTACATAAAATTCACTTGTCTTTTCTTAGTTAGTTCCTTATATTTTTGAGCTATTTACTATGTTTTTGTGTTTTGTGTGATTTATCAAGCAAAGAAAAGAAAAGTAGCACAAGTGAATTATTAAGTAACAAATTCGTCAAAACTGCCTGTGCAGATTATCTGACTTTGGAAGCATGTTACAAACAGCTCAGAATGAATGAGAGAATGAGCCTTATATGCGTGGAAAGCTACGGATGTCTATTTTCTGGAGCAATTTACAGATTGTTAATCTCATTTTTCTAGAAGAAGTTATGGGCATTGTAACACTGAAAGGTCAGAAAAGGGCTAAGCAGATTTGGCTAATAAAAAGAGAAAGGCAACACATGGGCAAAGGAAACACACACACATGGGCAGAAAATGGGTGGATTGTTGGCTGAAATAATGAAGAACATGTGTCTGCAAATGCAAAGGAAAAACACACACACATGGGCAAAGGAAACACACACACATGGGTAGGAATTGTGTGTGTTTTGTGGTTGAAATGATGAAACATGTGTGTGTAAATGTAAAGGAAAACATGGCAGAAAATGTGTGTGTTTGGTGGTTGAAATGATGAAGCATGTGTGTGTAAATGTAAAGGGGAAACATGACAACACACACCCACACAAGCTGCACATGCAAAGGAAATGGAGTGGTCCTCTCTCAAGCCTATAAATACCACCTCCCATATTCATCAACATAACAGATTTTCTCCTTGCTTTGGCCGAAACTTCTCACCACCATTCTCTCTAATTTCAGCCAAAAACCATCCCTAGCCACACCACCCATCAATCCTAAACCTTTCCATACCATTTCCCATCCATTCTACACCATAAAAACCACCCAAAACCGTCCAAAACCTCTAGTGCCGCTGCTTGCAAGGAAGGAAAGAGAAGGAACATCTTGTGCCGTGCCTATGCCCAAGCCTTGGGAGTGTTGGAGCGTTTCTAGGTGTTTTCTATCTTTGATTTCAATGTTTAAATTAAGTTATCTTTGTGTAATTGTGAGTATGAGGAACTAAACCCCCCTTGGCTAGGGGGGATTCAAAACCATGTTTATGCTTGCTATATGATTTGATTACTTCCAATTGCGTTTCATGAATTGTGAATTTAATTTACTTATCTCTATGAATTAAAACTAATTTGTGTATGTTGGTTGAGAGTGCACGCTTAATTTTCATGCATAAGTTTGATGCTAGGATATAAGGAAGTTTCACCTAATCGTTATGAACTTATATTCATAAGTAGTAAAGGTTGTTGATCACAATCGTGTTAAGTAAATTCTTGGCATAAGTTTCATGCAATTCATAGTAATGAGTGCCTCGTCAATGCTTATGTTTTTCATAGAACTTAATGATTCTTGCGTGTATCTCTATTATGCAATTCATGTAGGGAACTTGTAGGGAATGTTTTGGGTTGTCGTATGCAATCATCCGACCTAATAACTTGTAGAAAAACTGAGGGTTAATTAGTGCAATTCACGGTTAATTTGGGGCGTTGAGTATTCATGGTTTGTCGAAGAGCAATTGGAAATCATTTTGTATGCAAGTATAACATGTGTGGAGAAGAACCCCTTAGCTAGCTTCTCATCCATTCAATTTGATCAATCTCGTTTTAAAACCTATTTTGTTTTACAAAGTTCTTGTTTTGTTTTCAAATTCGTCTAAAATCAATCCCCCTTTATTTTGTTGAGTCATATTAGTTAGAAATCAATTTAGTTTGTGTTTTTAAGTGTCTTGAGTCAAGTTATAACATATTTTCGTTCAAATTCTTCCTTAGTGTTCAAAACTGCCCATATTGTGTTTTTAAGGCAGTTTTGAGTGTTTAGGTGCTGTTTTGAGTCTTTTGGTTTGTTTTAGTGTTTTAAAGTATAGTTTTGCATTCTTTGAGTCTAGTTTAGTGTTTAAACTTTGTTTTTACGTTTTCAAGTCAGTTTCCAAGTGATTTAGCAATCCCTCCTAATCCCCGGCCTAGAACGATCCCTACTTACATACTTTACTACAATTGATAAAAGAGGGTTTAATTTGTGTGCTTATATATTTCGCATCAGCTTCTCTAAAAACAAGGGTGAAATTAATATAAATCACAAATGAAACGTGGGTTTATCATGTATATTTTACATGACATTATGCAGCTTGATGGTGATGTGAAAATTATTTGACACACAAATTAAACCCTATTGATGACAATTGTAGCAAAGATGTAAGTAGAGATCGTTCTAAACCAGGGATTAACTAGGGCTGCTAATCTACTCAAATTAAACTCTAAAACACTAAACTAGACTTAAAAACACAAGAATAGACTCTATAGACTCTAAACTGACCTAAAACACTCAAATCTGCAAAACTAAATGAAATTGACTCAATTCTAGACCTAACAAGTGATTTGGACAAAATTAAAACTTATTTTGATTCAAAAGATTAAAAGAAAACAGATTGTAACTTAACTAACTCAGAATACACTTAAAATACTTAAAACAGCACAATACTAACAATTAGACTCAAAACAGATTCTAGGGATTAAATTGGACGAATTTAAGACTAAACTAAGACCCAAACAATGTTTATGGACTAATTCTAACCTATATTGACTCAAAACACTCTAAAGAACCTAATTAGGACAGATTCTGACCTAATAATACAAAATAGAAAAGGGGGTTTGGTTTCTGACGAAATTGAATTAAAACTAAACAAATTGCAAAACTAAGTAATCTAAAACGAAATTGAGATGAATTCAAGGGTGAAAAGCTAGTTAGAGGATCCTTCTCCACACATGAACATATGCAACATAAAATCGATTTCCAGTATTGTTTCCTTAAACCATGAATGACAATGCCCCAAATTAATCGTGAATGCACAAATTAACTCTCAGATTTCCCTAAATTCATTGAATTGGATGAATGCATGCAACAACCCAAATTATTCTTCTCAAGTTCCCTATATGAACAGCATGATAGAGATACATTCAAAGATCATTAAATTCCATGGAAATCATAAGCATTGACAAGGCAATTATAACTATGAACTGCATGATACTCTTGCCAAGAATCTACTTAACACGATTGTGACTAACAATCTTCACTACTTGTAATTACAAGTTCCTAACGATTAGGTGAAAGTCCCTTATAATTTAGCATCAAATTCAAGCATGCAAACTAAGTAGGCCTCCTTAATCAACACACAAGAATAAGTTATCAATCAAATAGATAAGTAAATCGCATTCATGTTTTACGAAACAATAACTGAAAGGAATCAATTCATATTAACATATGTCCATGGCTTCGAATTCACCACTAACTAATAATAATTTAGTTCCACATATTCATAGCAATTGAAAAGCAAATTGAAATAAACATCGAAACTAAAACGAGGGAAGAAAGAACTCTTAAAACTCCCAAGGATGCAGATGGCTTGCGCACAAGGCCCTCCTTCATCAATGGAATGCACGGCAAGGCTCTCCTTCTTCTAAAAATGTGCGGCAGAGATGTATCTTGATGTAGAATGGTGTTTTGTGATGTAGAATGGTGGTTAGGGTTGCGGCAAGGGTGTTTCTGAGTGGTATGAAGGGTGGTGACGAATTTGTGCTGAAAATATGTTTATATAGGCTCAACAAAACCCTAGGGTAAATCAGATTAGGGTTAGAAATCAGCACACTAGGAGAATTAGGGCCCTAGGGTTTGGCACAATTAATTAAATTCACTAAGGAAAAGGTTTAGCCCAATTAATTTCAGAAAAGGATTTGTATAACCCAAATCCACAAGGAATAAGGCCTAATAGATCAGAATCCACAAAGGAAAAGGGATAGAGGGGTGTGGCACACATTGGAGGGAAAAGAGAATGGCTTGCAAGGCAAGGCAAAAGCCTTCTAGAAGGGAATAGGCACAATGTGTTTTATGGCTGATTTGGGACTTCTAGAAGGGAATTCTTCTAGAAATAGGTTTTAGAAATATATATTTAGGTCCCTTTGCAGCTAGGATTAAGGCATGATAAGATTAGGATATGATAAGATAAGGTTAGTTTGGATAAGATAAGGTTGGATAAGGTTTTGGATAATGTTTCCTATTTTGAGTTTATTCCTTATCTTCTTTGTCTTGAATTTAATTTCTTCATCTCCTTATCAGATTCCTAGCCTTTTGAACTCCAAATTCGTCCATCCATCTTGGCCCATACATGTGATATCCATTTAGTGCCCAAAACTGCTCTAAAATGCTCCAAAATGCACTTTCTTGCCAACTTTGTCATTTGGACCTACAAACACACGAAAATAGCTTAAAACACTATAATAACCACAAACTAACTATAAAAGTGCAAGAAAACAAGCTAACTAAGTCGTATAAATATGCTCCTATCAGATGGTGATATTATATGTTATTCTTTTGTAATTATATAATTTTTAGCAGAAATATTGAGGTTCTACCATAAAACCAATTAGCAATATGGAGAGTAGCACAACCTCTTATAAGCTCATGCAAGATCCATCCTCTCATCAATGTGGGACTCAACCTGCTCTGATACCATGTGGAGCATGTGTGGCCGTTTGGCTTCACACGTGGGAGACAACCTACTCTGATACCATGTAAGAACTGCAAAGAATGCAAAAGAAATGCAAAAGAAGAGTTGAGAGAGAGAGCTCGAAAGCTTTGTGAATTAATCTTTCTTGATTACCTAGTAACAGTTACAAAGTGTCTTATATAGTACCTTATTACAAAGCTTACTTATTAAGCTAATACAATGGTGTAACCTCCTTATTTCAACAAACCATACTTCTAACAACCTACAATTCCAACAACCTTTATATAACAACCCTCCTTATCCATTGATATGTGGCATGATCTTGACCATTGTTTCCTCTTCACTTGGATCATTAGCTTTGATATTCTTACATAATTATCTTCTGTCAATCCTTGTTTCCCAAGGAATTATTAAAAAGGACCTAAATAATCTTCCAGTTGTACATCAGGGTTTTCACTAGCTTAGGTTACGCGTAGAAAAGTTGTGTTATATATATCTCCAAATGGCAAGAATATATACCTTCTCAGTTTCCACTTCCGTCACTACTCTCACTCTCTCTCTCGATATATCTACACCATGGCTTCTATTTCAAAGTTGAAGAGCAGTAAGATGGCCATCGGCCGCAGCAGAATCCCCAGCAACTCCATCCCTTAACCCTTGTGTCCTGATCACATCACCAACCTCGCGCATATGGCGACGATCAAGGCTTGAGACGCTGCAGAAGCATATTTCTCGCTCGGTAACTTCGAATATGCAATCATGCAAGCCAAGGCAGCAAAAGAGTTCGAACCGGATTTGCATGCTATGGACAACTACATAGCTGCATACCAAGTTCATTATGCCGTGTCACACAAACAAAACTGGTATCGTGTTCTCGGCATCCAAAACCCTACAGTTGCCGACTCAGAAACCATCAAGAAACAATACAAGAGATTGGCACTTGCCTTGAACCCCGACAAGAATGCATCAATAGCGGCCGAGGGTGCTTTCAAGCATGTTAAGGCAGTATGGGACGTTCTCTCTAACCCTGCTAAAAGAGAAGCTTACGACAAGTCTTTGAAGCGACAGTTTCAAGCGGCTCATGGTTCCAATAAGCGCAGAGCTAGTAAGTGCAAACCACCGCAGTCGAAGAGGTCTAATACCTTCCCTCGCAAAAGGTCTTGCCCTAGTGGTGATGGGAGCTGCTACAAGAAAACCATTAAGATTATTAGAAAATCAAATCCAGGCCAAAAGGCAACTGTGATGATGGCAGTGGCGGATCCAGGAATCTTACCCCAAGGGGTCGCAGTGTAAAAGTTCAAATAAAAATTTAGGATGGGAAAACAAAAGTGAGTCCCTAACTTATCTAGATAGGGTCGCGAAGTACAAAGCCCCGGTCATTGACAACCGTTGTAAGGACAACAAAACCTATGTTTAGTAATGTGCTATAAAAGAACTTTTTCATGATGCACTTGAATGTTTAGTAATGTGCTATAAAAGCACTTCTATTAGGGTGTAACCAAACCATCGAAAATCCTCATAACTTTTCCTTAACAAAGCTGCCGAAAAGGTAGAAGCATTCCAACATTTTAAGGTGTAACCAAACCGTCGAAAACAATGGCAATTATTCAAGAAAACAAAATAATTAAGAACTCTTCACTATGAATGCCCAATTTTTCAAAGAAATTATTTGGAGATGCAGTGGAAGTAGCTAAAGAGAATAAATTGAAGTGACAAATATCAACGACAGCAGAAATGAAGAAATAAAAATATTTGAAGGATGACTGGGATTGTTCTTATAACGTAATCCAATACACTAGCACTAAAATCATATGAAACAGATAGATACTTACATGCCAGTATTTTGACACGCACCGATCAATGCAACTGTTTTCACCCATATTTAGCTCAGACTCCTTGTACCTGGATGTATTTGACAATTCACATTTACTAACTTGAGTGACTTTAGATTTCAAAAAAGGGCCTTAAAGTAAACTGCTGCGTATCTTTCATAGAGGTCCATAAGAACTAAATAGAGAAAAGAAAAGGGTTCTCATACTTCTTCTCGACGCACTTGTTGAAACATGTGTGGGTAAGCCTGAATCAATAACCAATTAAATGCGTAAGTGAAAACCGGTAACCACCGGAGCCAAAGTATTAGACATGGAAAATTGCAGATACCAAAGCAGAATTCGCAACCTAAATAGATGTGCTCAGTCAAAGTGTATAACACAAACAGAAAAGACTAAAATGCTCACACATTGAAGCCACAAGACAACCAAATACGATTGCTTTAGAACTATTGTTCAGAAGCCTTGTTTTTTAGTGAACAATCATACATGCTCATCAACACAAAGTATTAAGTCCAACGGAAATAATAGTTAAACAGGTACAAGCCAAAATAAAGAAACAAATAAATGATCACGCTTACGGAAAAAAAGCCCCTAAAAATTTCTCAAACTAGAATATAGGCTTGAAGAAACAACCCTCGCCGCCTTCCATATAAAACCACATTAGTGAACTGTGATATCTAACACCGTTCAGAAAACTTACTTGTTGAACAACTCAACCCTGTATTCCATCTCCTTCTCGGCCATACCAAAAATCTGCACATTCATTGAAAACAAACTTCAAGTCTTTCCAAAACGCCAACATTGTTTAATAACACAACTTTTATGGCAACAATTTATAACAAAAAGAATAGAAATCCATTAACATCAACCATATTGCTCCATCCTAACTCCCGTGAAATGCCTCGGTTTCACTACTAATGTCGAAAACACCGCCATCATTGACCAATTAGACAAACTATACCAAATCTGATTACCCCCCAATTCAAAGAATACACAGATTCCCAACCCCCATTAAACAATCTGACCATGAATTTCCAATCTTGGGTATACTTGAAATCATATTCAAACTCCAAAGGTAGAAACTTTAGAACAATGAAGAAAAGGGCACTCACCTGTTCCTTGTCCAAAACCGTCGGCTCATTAGGGGCAGCCTTAGATCCTAAAAAACCCCCAAATTAACTCACACAATTCCTTCAAAACCGAAATAGAATGAAGTAGCAGAGAGGGTTTAAGTAATCTTACTCGGTGGGAGAGAACCGAAAGTATTGTGATTGGAAGCTATTAGATGCAGAGGGGGTTTTAGGTGTCTGATTTGAAGCTGAAGCAGGCGAAAATGGAAATCGCACTGGAGGTGGCGTGCGAGTCCGACCCCGACGACCCCAGCTCCAAGAGGTCGCATATGGGAGCTTCAAGGTTGTTTCCATGGTTTCCAAGGGGTCGTGCGACCCCGACGACCCCACTGTGGATCCGCCACTGGATGATGGTATCCATATGCCGAGTGGCTTAATGTGTTCCTCGCTTTGTCATTAATTTTCCTCCTTGAAATTTTGGAGTGCTTACTATGTTGTATGTATTTGTATTTCAATGCATCGTTCCCTGATTTCCACTTTTATATTTTCTCTATAGCTAGTTATTTTGTAGATTTTTCTGTTTATATTTTCAGAACCATGTTGAAAGGGATAGAAAATGAGGGCTTCGTATGGCTTGTCGAACGGGGTTTCTTACTGTAGAACACAGAACAGAAAGCATGTGTTTTCAATGTAGTTTCTCCGTCGATTTATATGGTAGCCAAATTTGTATAATCTTGTCAATAAACAAGGTAGTGCATGGGAACGACAGAGATCAAATCAGGGTTAATATGTAATAATGATAAGCGTTCTTTTATAAACAACAATTCATCCAAAATTAATGCAACCAAAAGAAAAATTCACAACCAGAATACTTTACTTACAAAACAAAGCCACAACAAAAAACATTTTTATCCATTAAAGTAGCAGAAAATGTCGCTTGCGAGCGCATGCGGGTAGGTAGTATATTATACTATTTAATTTTACTCCCAATCTTGTGGGATTGTAAGGATTTGAATGAAAAATGGGCTGGGGTTCATTTAGGTGCTCGTATACCGAAAAATTGAAGGTGTGTTCAGTAGCAAACCACCAAAATTCCCCCATTTATTTGGTGCCTATATGTCAAATTATGTTGATATTTTGTGTTGGGTGACCAAATGTCCACCCCGCAACCAAACACGTGAAGATCACACGAACGCTCAAAAAATCGACTCATAACTTATTTTGGGGCTCCAAAACTTCGAACTCACCCTACATTCATAACCAAAAGCTTGTTTTCCATTATGAAAGCGTCTGAATTAGTGAGATTTTACTTATTGTGAAAATAAGTAAAAATGAAGGTATATTGCGAAAGGGTTTTAGCTAGAAATGCAAGCGGTGGTAAGGATTGCACCAAGGTTTAGTTACTGCAAATCCAACTCATGTACAACGGCCAAACTTAGTCAATCGAGTTCAAATAAAGTTTCTCATCTTGGAACTGAGCAGGAACCTTGTTGAGTTATTGCTATACTACTAGGAATTATTTTCATATGTTATTTGGAGTTGTTGCTAAGAGGACCATCTATTAATTTCTTTAATTTTTCAACTAGGAAAATACATATGACCTATACAGTATATAACTCTGACATTATCAGCAAAAAACAGAAGAGAAAAAATATAGATTTGGGCCTTTGATAAATTATTAGAAATCCAATTGTAACAAAAATATATCTGAATTTGGTAAGTTCAGTCGGTTACTAATTTCAATTACGAATAGGAATTCAACTTTCTGCCCAAGTACCCTTTTTCTAGGGTTTTAACGCGTTTCTTAAGTTGCAAGCAAAGTTTGCATCATATATATATCCAAACCTGCAAGAATACCATCTTTATCTACGTCAGTCACTACCCCCCTCTCTCTCGATATATCTACACCATGCCTTCTATTTCAAATTTGAAGAGCAGTAAGATGGCCATCGCCCGCAGTAGAATCCCCAGCAACTCCACCCCTCAACCCTTGTGTCCTGATCACATCATCAACCTCGCGCGTATGGCGGCGGTCAAGGCTCGAGACGCTGCAGAAGCATATTTCACGCTCTGTAACTTCGAATATGCAATCATGCAAGCCAAGGTAGCAAAAGAGTTTGATCCAGATTTTCATGCTATGGACAACTACATAGCTGCATACCAAGTTCATTCTGCCGTGTCACACAAGCAAAACTGGTACCGTGTTCTCGGCATCGAAACCGCTACAGTCGCTGACTCAGAAACCATCAAGAAACAATACAGGAGATTGGCACTTTCCTTGCACCCCGACAAGAATGCATCACTAGCGGCGGAGGGTGCTTTCAAGCATGTTAAGGCGGCATGGGACGTTCTCTCTAACCCTGCTAAAAAAGAAGCTTACGACAAGTCTTTGAAGCGACAGTTTCAAGCGGCTCATGGTTCCAATAAGCGCAGAGCCAGTAAGTGCAAACCACCGCAGTCGAAGAGGTCTAATACCTTCCCTTGCAAAAGGTCTAGCCCTAGCGGTGATGGGAGCTGCTACAAGAAAACCATTAAGATTATTAGAAAATCAAGTCCAGGCCAAAAGGCAACTGTGATGATGGTATCCGTATGCCGAGTGGCTTAATGTGTTCCTCGCTTTGTAATTACCTTGCCTCCTTGAAATTTTGGAGTGCTTACTTTTATTCAATACAAGTGGAATAATCATTTTGGATCTCTTACGTTGTTCCCTTATCCCACTTTTATATTTTCTGATTCTGAAAGTAGTTTCTGCACCAATCTGTGGCTGCCGATGTTCGATAATCTTCTTAATATAGAGGCTAACACATAGGAATCAAAGAGAACAAATAGGTTTAATATTAAGAATGATAACCTTTCTTTTATTAGCAAAATACATACAAATTAATGCAAAAAAAAAAAAAAAAAAAAAAAAAAAAAAAAAAACCAACTAGAACATACTAAACTCGCGAAACAAGTCACGATGCAAAAATAATCTGTACTATATATGGCTCTTTCACGCGTGAGAGCGCATGCGAGGAGGCTAAGTATATTGTAATCATGCACTTAGACTAGTTAGTACTGCTGGTAGTGTTGAGCAAGAAAGATTGTGATTTTCTCTCATAGTAAAAGTTGCTTTTCAAAGAAGCGTCAGCTGAGAAGGTCACGACCCCATTGATTTTCAAATCCATTTGTCTGCAACAGTGTCAAAGCATCAAAAAAGGCATCCCCTTGACTTCTTCTTCCATCTACTTCATAGGATTGTAAGGATTTGAACAAAAATGGGCTGGGGTTCATTTAGGTGCTCGTTCACTGAAAAATTGAAGCTGAGTTCAGTAGCAAACCACCAAAATTCGCCTATTAATTATTTGGTGCCTACATGTCAAATTATGTTGATATTGTTTGTGTTGGATGACCAAATGTCCCACCCCGCAGCCAAACTGGTGAAGATCACACGAACGTTCAAAAATTCGAGTCATACCTGTAAGAATGTGAGCATAAGTATGAATATGTGAACTTGGTTACAAGATTAAAGACTGAATAGGAAGTCTTATCGAGATTGGATTTGTGAATCCATATTGGTGCTGAATTATTATTTCATAGGAATTGTTTTTCTATATGGATTTTAATAGGGAAATCCTTATGGAAGAAGGCTAGGATTATGTAGTATATATATAGTGGCCTCTGCTCTCGCAGTGTGTGCTCAACTCCAGACTAAGACCTATTGTTAGTTAAGAGCCTTTGAACACTTAAGAGAGGAGAAGGCGCATTGTGTCTTGTTGCAGAGACTAAGCATGGCAACCGGTTCAAGTTCTTCCGCAGGTATGTCTTTTCTCTGTGCACTGCTTTATGGTTTATGGTTTTGTGTTTTAATCACGGTAACTTGCTTTGCATGATCTTGGTGTTGTGTTTATGCTAACATGTGGTATCAAAGCCCTAGGTTCATAAATTGTAAGTTCTGTGATTGAAACCAGTAGATTCCGAAAAAACATAAATAATATTTGAGAGAAATAAGTCTTCATTGCTTGGTAGGAGAATCGAACACAGGTTCTTGTATTAATCCTTGCAAATAACGACAATAATAATATAACCGTTGGAATTTAAGAGGTTGTTGTTGTTGGATTCTCTGCAAATCCATACGAAGGGTTTTCTTTCGAATTGGGGTTTTCGATTAAGAATAATATCCAACAAATGTGTTTCTGGGTTATAATTTTATCAATCTTGCAACGGATATGATTGATTTGAATGGTTATTCCGCTGCGCTGCTTCAAATTTGGATTTGTGCAAGGTACGATTGATAAATTGCAAGTTTTATTTTGGCTGCTTCTGCAGTTAGTCTGCAGATTGAATCAAATGTTTATATATAAGATTATGATAACAAAATCTATATGAATTTCTTTGAAATTGAAACTATTATGCAGAAACTTAGACCTTGGGTGTTCGATCATGTTTTATCCGCAATTGTTTTAAAATCTGCAGATTACTAATGCACCTTTTATGTTGTCTGTTAAACCATGAATAATGGTTATAATGCATGAGACATCTCATGATTGTCTGTTGTTGGATATCTTCTTATTGATGAGTCAGTTTTTCTATGTATGCTTATCAACGATGTGTTGCTAAGACTATATGTATGAATCATTGATGCAAATTGTGATGTGCAAACTTCAAAGGAAATCAGGAACCTAACTGGTTCATGTTTGTGATTTCTTTCGCAGTGTCTGCAATATCAATGAAGACCCTAAATTTGGCCAACATTCCAATTCTCACTGGTGGTAGTAACTACAAGAAGTGGAGAAGGGAAATTGGATTGCTATTAACTCTTAATGAGTTTGATATAGCAATTGACAATCCCAAGCCTGTAATCACTGATCAAAGTACAAGGGTGGAAAAGGCAGATCATGAGAGATGGTCAAGAGCCAACAAGGTGGCAGTTTCTATCTTAGAGAGTGGTACGACTGATACCATTCGAGGTGGGATCAAGAAACATGAGTTAGCTGTGGATTATCTGAAGGCAATTGAGAAGAAATTCAAGGAGTCTCAGAAGGCTGAAATTAGTCAATACATGGCTTTACTGACAACTTATAAGATTGATAGTACTGGTTCAATTCGAGACCACGTACTGAAGATGACTGATGTTGTTGAGAAGTTGAACTCAATGGATGTCAATATTGGAGAAAAACAGTTGGTTTTCATGATTCTCCAAGCTCTTCCAATCAAATACTCTCAGCTGAAGGTGTATCACAAGACAAAAGTTGGGATATAGATGAACTCATCGCACAATGTGTTCAAGAGGAGACTCGGCAACAGCAAGAAAAATGCAAGGATGTTGAGACTATGAACTTTGTGCAAGGAGGAAGAGGGAAGAAATTCGACAATGCTGGAAATAATTCAAGTAAGGATTTCAAGTGCTCCAAAATTTCTGATAAGACTGGTACTTCTGCCAAAATATTTGATATTTCTAAAGAGCCTAACAATCTTAAACCAAAAATTAAAAATGTTGCCAAGCTTAAGTGTTTTTTCTGCAAAACTCGAGGTCATCTAAGAAAGGATTGTGAACTGTTTAAGGATTATCTGAGAGCTAATGACAAAGAGGTAGTTAATGGATGTGAAGAGTCATTTGATCAATGGGGGTAGTTTGTTATTCTGTTTTACAAAGAGCAATTGCTGCATTAAGGACAGTTGCAAAATAAAGTTTGAGAAGAGACTACTATTGTGAAGTTCGAAGAGTTGTTATAGCGGTGATGTTCTTCTCTTCAAGTTAGTTTTTTGTTTTAGTTTACTTTGTTTTTCAGTTAGTTGTATTCAGAGATTCAATTTATGTAATTGTTTGATCTGATATATATATGTGCGTGTGTGTGTGTGTATGTGTGTGATTGTGGATTCAATTGATGCTTTGAGAAATCTTTGTGATTTGACTCAGGTAATTGTTTTGAATTCATAGGAATTGCGGACAAACAGTTTATTGTCTGTGATGAACTTGATTATTTTGAATTAAGTTAAGAAATAGTGGGAGTGGATATTTAGGTCCATTAAGTATCAGCATGATCATAATGTTATATGTGCAGATTGGACATAAGTGGTTTGAAAGTGCCGGTTGCATAATGGTTGTGACTATGAGTTTTCAGATTCTTTGTTTTGAGATGCATAGGTAAATTGTTTATGATGTTGCTCATAAGGCTTAGTGATCACCCTATTTGTAGTCTTAATCGAACTGGTTTCTTGGTTCATACTTGCTAAAGTGGGAGAATGTAAGAATGTGAGCATAGGTATGAATATGTAAACTTAGTTACAGGATTAAAGACTGAATAGGAAGTCTTATCGGGATTGGATTTGTGAATCCATATTGGTGCTGAATTACTATTTCATAGGAATTGTTTTTCTATTGTCTGTGATGAACTTGTTTATTTTGAATTAAGTTAAGAAAGAGTTGGAGTGGATATTTAGGTCCATTAAGTATCAGCATGATCATAATGTTATATGTGCAGATTGGACATAAGTGGTCTGAAAGCGCCCGTTGCATAATGCTTGTGACTGTGAGTTTTCAGATTCTTTGTTTTGAGATGCATAGGTAGATTGTTTATGATGTTGCTCATAAGGCTTAGTGATCACCCTATTTGTAGTCTTAATCGAACTGGTTTCTTGGTTCATACTTGCTCAAGTGGGAGAATGTAAGAATGTGAGCATAAGTATGAATATGTGAACTTAGTTACAGGATTAAAAACTGTTGATGCACAAAACCGGAGGTCTTGGAACAACGTAAATCCGACCGTGAATATGCAAGTAATGTAAATAACACAAGATGTATCGTGGTTCACCCTAAGATTTGGGCTACGTCCACACTGATTATGTATTTATTTGAGGGAGAGAGAGCTCTGAGAGTGAGAGCTTTGAGAGGGGGTGAGAGGGCCTAGGAATTGGCCTCTCCCAATTGTGAGGGTGAGGAGTCCTTTTATAAAATAAGGGCTCCTCACTTATTACATATTTGCCCCTTCCTTTATTACATAATTACATTTAAGTCCCCTGAGTATTTGTACGAGATCTAAATACGAGGCCCTAAATATGGTATAAACAATATTCCCCCAAGTCCTCAGTCAAGAAAGTCTTTTGGCTGGAGACTTGAAATTCAGTCCATGTGTGGGCCGAAGTAACTAGATGTTGTCTTAAACTGATGCTCGATATGAGGCAGTGCTCAATCTGAAATGATGCTCAACTAGAAGTAGCACATGCTGCGAGGCTGCGAGGCTAGTGGCTTATGTTGCCTTGGTTGGCTCGGCTTGTGGCGTTGAAGGTGAGGGAGTCCCTTTTATAGAATAAGGGCTCGCTCCTCAATACATGAATGATAGGCTAGAGTTGATGTTCTCTAATGATGGTGAGAGAGTCCCTTTTATAGAATAAGGGCTCGCTCCTCAATACATAAGTGATGGGCTAGAAGTGATGCTCGCGGCGAGGCGGTTGCTCAGCATGTGGCGTTGCTCTCTAATGAAGGTGAGGGAGTCCCTTTTATAAAATAAGGGCTCGCTTCTCAGTACATGAATAATGAGTTAAGTCCCCTGAGTATTTTTCATGAGGCCCAATATATGGTACATATTGTAATCCCTTAAGTCTTCGGTCAATAGAGTCTGTTGGCTGGAGACTTCAAATTGAATCCATGTATGGGCCAAAGTGGCGGTTGTTCGGAGGCGGTATTTGTATACCCTGCACTGAAGCTTTGTAAATGAAGCTTTGCAAGTGAAGCTTTAAAGCTAGAGCTCTGTAAATGAAGCTTTTGAAGCTAGAGCTTCTGTAAATGAAGCTTTTGAAGCTAGAGCTTTTGTAAAAGAAGCTTTTGAAGCTAGAGCTCTGTAAATGAAGCTTTCGAAGCTGATTGACATGAGTGATGCTCATGAATGTTTATGTTGATTGACATGAGTGATGCTCATGGATGTTGTCATGAGTGATGCTCATGAATGTTAACATGAGTGATGCTCATAAATGTTGACATGAATGATGGTCATGAATGTTTATGTATGATTGTCATGAGTGATGCTCATGAATGTTTATGTATGAATGACATGAGTAATGCTCATGTATAATTTGGAGTACTGGGTGTACTTTTGATCACCTGGTTGGTGGCATAAAGGAGAGTACGGGTTGTACATTTCATCACCTGGTTGGTGGCATGAATGGCTAGTTGCCAAATGATATTAGAGTACGGGTTGTACATTTCATCACCTGGTTGGTGATAATAGCGGCAGGTTGCCGAATAATTTTAGAGTACTGGGCGTACTTTTGATCACCTGGTTGGTGGTAATAGCGGCAGGTTGCCGAATAATTTTGGAGTACTGGCGTACTTTTGATCACCTGGTTGGCGATAATAGCGGCGGGGTGCCGAATAATTTTTTGTAGTCCTGGACGTACTTGTGGTCACCTAGTTAGTACTATTTTGGGCTTTATGGGTCTTCGCCTTCCACACAACATTCCAGCTCGTTTATTTTGGGCCTTGCCCGTTTTTTTTTTTTTGTACCCTTTGATGTGGTTTATACAGATGTCTCCGAAAGATAAGAAAAATAAATCACACCATACAAAAACAAGAAAAGTAAATCATATCATTCTGGTGGGGTGTTTATTTCTTGCTTTTGCAGTGTCCCCATGTGCCTCCCTTTTGCTTTCTCTTTATTTTTCTTTCTTTTGGTTCTGCTTTCAGCCTGATTGTTGCTAGGACCTTGTATTGGAATGGCATGTGCTCTTGCAGAGGAAAGCCTCCCTTTTCTTTTCCTAGCTCTCTGTGGTCCACGAGTCTACAACTTGTCACAACTTTGCCATCCACCTGCACTCTTTATTCAACAGTTGTTGCACCAGATGCTAATTGCTCCCTAAAGGTGGAGAACAAATTGCTTTCAGTCCCTTCAACATAACTTTGACTGCTGGAAGGCTGCAAAAGAAAATGGGTGAAGAGAGAGGTTTCTGTTCTCGATACTTTGTGTCTTCAAGCATGATGCACATGATATCTGGTATGCGTGGGTAGCTCCAAAATGAGCTAAGTCGGCACGGGCTGCCTTCCATGATGACATCTCTATAGTAATAAAGTCCGACGGCGGAACCGCGAGGCTTGTCCTCTCTCAAATACCTTACTGGCACTTTGAGCTCATTGGAAATGGAAGACACATACAGTGCGAATTCTTTCTCTTCATAGAATCCAACCAAATAGATTTAAGCTAAATTGGGTATCTTTTTACAAGCTGAAATGGGGTGGTTCACCATCGAGATCTGCATCTCCTGTTCGCCGGAGAGTTGATTTTTCTTTAGTAACAAATCACACCCCTTTTTTTGGTGACCCTGATGTAGCAGAACATAGCTGCAGAAATGGTAGTGACAAGCACGCTAATGATAATCCCTCCACCAGTCACCGACTTATCATCTTTCTTTTCAGAAAGCCCCAAACACCGGAAAGTTGGAGCTTCCTGCCATCTCGCCACTTCGTCATTCCCTGCCCTTGGCGCTCCAGCTCCTCATCTTCCAGATCTGATCCGCTTAAAGTTGGAGCCCTAAATTGCTGTTTAGCTTAGGAACCAAGAATGACGGCGACCCAAATGCTGGATTTGGCCACTGGTGCTTGGCACTGCCAGTTTCATCACTGCCCTCTATTAAAGCTCAGCTAAAAAGCTCTAAAAACTTCGATTCATTATACGAAAAACCATCAAGTTTCCTACTTTTTTTTTAAATGTGAATCAGAAATCTTTAAACCCAAATACCCGGATCGTAAATTGAATTAAACCCAAAAAAGAATATGAAAATGGGATCAGTTCTGTTGCCAGAAAGGGAAGTCAGGCGCCGAAGCCCGGCTGGGTATGATGACTCGCCCCACGACCCAACGCGTCTCGGCGGATAACGACGACGTGGAAGAATTGGATGGTTTTCTTCACGTCAAACTCGGCGAGCCTGAAGACGCCACTGTGAGACTTCTCTGAAAAGGGAATTCGAATTCTTGATTTAGGATTTCGGGGTTTTGATCTGTCACTACCGAGTGTGGGCCAACTACCTCGCCCTGGGCCTAGTCGCTTAAGGCGGCATCGATGTTCTTCAAGTAGATGGCGTAGGAGGAGTGGGCAGGAACAGAGTCGTCTGAGGTTTTAGGTGGACCAAGTCGGAGGGTGGATTGGCCGATCCATGGCAGAACCGCGTGTGACCGGTCCGGTTCAGAACAAAGATTAGATGCTTGAACTTTGTCAAGGTGAAGTCGGTGATTTCCCGGCAATTTAGTGGTTCAAGACGTTTGCCGCCTCTGGGGTTAACATTTGCTGGATCGTACTCAACCCTGCTCTCATTTCTTGGAATTCAAAGGAGCAAAAACACCAAAAGCCAAATCCAAATCCAAATCCAGGGAGTTCGATATGTGTCGGAGTTGGGTTTTGAGCAGAAAAAACGACGTCGTTGCCTATAGATATTGGGCATTGCCTGTCGTCGAAAATGACGTCATTGCCGGTCAAACCGATGGTGCCGTCGCCGTTGATACTGAGGATCCGAGTCTTCTTGGCGGTTTGGCAGTGGGAGAGCCACTTCTGCTCCAGCTTCGTGAAGATCTCTAAGGTTACCTTGCTCAGCTCCATTTTGTGATTAATTGAATGCTTTGCGACAAGTGAGAGCGTTAAGAGTGTGAGAGTGCTCACACTTTGTTATCGAGAAGCATTAATGGCGGAGAACTGCTCGTCTCTCTCTTCTGGTTTTTCTCTCTGTTTCTTTCTCTCACTAGAAAATGGAAAACAAAGTGGGTTTTTGGGTAGTTGGAAAGTTAAGAGCTACCAAAACAATGGGAGTGGGAGTGTCTCTGAGTGTGGGTGTTGGGTTTCTGCAGACTCACGGTGGACAGTGTGAGATTTGATGAAAAAATGAAAAAGAACCG